TAAAGTAAATAGTTAATTGGAATTTACGTCTAATCGGTTTTTGAAAAAGAAGGGGAATTGACTATTTTCTTGAGGGCTAATAACGTTTACCGCAATATTAGAATTAGAATTGAAAAAATAAAATTAAAGAAGATGGCAGAAATTAATAATTTCGGAAACGTATATACTGCAAACATGTACACACACACATACATGGAGGCGTATACGATATATCAAGAAAAGAAATTAATTGTATGTAGGTACATACATAGTACTAATTGGAATAAGTAGAAAGCGTGTAGTTCAATTAATTAAATTTTTATCGATAATAAAAGTTAATAAAGTTAAATAGTCTAGACCGACGAGTTGGTAAATATTGACGCTGTTGATTGGTAAATATTTTCTGCCTGTAACATTATTGATAAAAAATGCTCGTGTTAATGTTACGAAGTTCTCGTTCTACAAATATATATTTATTCCATTCTTGACACTTGAAAAACGAGGTTTTTTTTTTTTTTATACGACGCGTAATTCTCAATTGAATGCGACTGTTGTTGAAAAAGGGGGATCATTCGTAATAATCCGGACAAAGGATTATTTTTTCTTTTTTTTTCACTAATGAAAATCTCACTCGACTTGCGCGCAACGTTAAACACAGTCGCGACAAACAATTCAATTTCCAAGCATCGCCGACTTCCCTTCTCATTAATCGAATTACCAGACAATGAGGAGCCATATTCTTTCCATAAACGAGACCTTTCCCCTAGTTAAAACGGAACGCAGTGCTTCTTCCTTTCAACCAATCAATCGCAACACAACTATTGAACATAGCGCAAAGAATATTTTTATCCGGACGTCTCGACACTGTCTCCGTGTCTTTTCAAAGAAACAGGAGATCATTATTATTGTTATTATTATTATACTAATATTCGTGCAAACACGTTACGGAAGAAATAGGAATTTTTAGGAATTTTTCTTTCTCTTTCGCTTTCTTTCGAAGCGCGGATCGCTTGAAATTCGCACGAAGGGATAAAAATAAAGAGGAAAAAAAAAAAAAAAAAAAAAAGAAAAATGAGAGGAAAA